CCAGACTATCTTTTTCTTACCGGAATCTTTTCTTGAACTCTCCTCTTGCATGTCTTCTACTCTCTGTAGGAATTCAATTTAATAAACATTTATCCCTAGTTATCATATACACTTCCCTGTGATTGATGCTGGAGGGTATATAGAGAGAAATAACTCATAGAACCTGCCCTTAAGGAGCTTCCAGTCCAATAGGGCATATAATGTGTGCACTAACAACTATGATGTTTCCTTCGTTCTTTGTCTTTGGACAACCAGCTCCTAGCCCAATACCTGGTGCATAGTAGGCGCTTAATAAATTCTTGAATGAATAGGAGGAAAGAGAGAATGAGCTAAGTGCAAAGGAGTCAGGCAAAGAGCTCTAAGATACTTGAGGAGAGCACTGTCATGGGTGTGGGGAGTCAAACCTTATTGGGACCATGACTTATTGGTGACCAGAGGCCCACCAAGTGTGCATTAGGCAGATTCCTCAAACATCTGTGGACAGGAGAGATGGGACAGGGATAGAGTGAAGGCAGGGAGACCAATGAGGAAACTTATCTAGTCCAGCTATGGGGGCATCCATGAGGGCATGAATTGGGTGGCTGGCAGAGACAGTGGAGAGGAGAAGCCAGATGTAAGGGATTCGGTGGAGATAGAACTAACAATTCTTGGCGACGGACTGGAAGGTTTGGGTGAGAAAGAAAGAGGAAGGGTGCAAGGATGCCAAAGGCCCAACTAAACAGGGGTGAGCTAATGTTTCTAGAGTTGTAACCGTTCTTAGAGAATTCATCCCTAAGAGTCATATTTGCCCTTCTGTCAATTAAAAATATCTGTTTGTTTAAATGGAGCCCCTTTGGTCTATTATAGTCCCTACTGCCTGTTAGGGAGAGATAATATAAAAGGAGGCAAAAGAATTACAAATGTCTTATATTTCCAGGTGTATCCCCCCACCCCAGCTGATACTCTGCACTATTTATATAATAGGTGGGAAAGCATTTTTACAGGTGGAAAGCAGTATATGAATGAGAAGGTATAATGCAAAGGGATCTCAGCCTGGGAGGAGAGTCGGAAGCCCCTAATTGTCATTGAACTAGCTGTGTGACCTTGGGCAAGTCACCTAACCTCTCTGGGACTCATTGGCCTCCTCTGTAAGGGGAGGGGCAGGCTAGACGATCTCTAAAACTTCTAGCTCTAATGTCCTATGGTAAGGGATAATTTTTATTACTATATTTTGAAATGGCTAGTCCAAGGGTAGGCACTCAACAAAGATTCAATAAATTAATTTCATTATGTTGAATTGAATTGCACCAAAATTGAAGGTCTTAGAGCAGAGATGGGATGTAGTCAGAGCTGTGCATTAGGAAGATTAATTTGGCAGCCTGCACAGGATAGATTGGAGAGGGGAGAACATGGAGGCAGGGAGACCCAGTACAAGAACTCAGGAAAGAAGGGATGTGGGCCTAAATTAGAGTGGAGGTTGTGGGAGCTGAAAGGTGTGCATGGATAGGAGATGTTGGAAAGGAGAAATCAGAAGAACCTAGTGACTGCCTGGATGTAGGCCAGGGAACGGTGGGGGCAGGGCATGTGTTGGATAAGGAGGAATCAAACGACATTTCTAGTCTCAGTAGAGGTCTTCCACCATATGGCTTCAACCCACCTTTCCAACTCTGCTTCCTGCCACTCCTGTGCCTTACATGTACCTTACATGTCAGGAAGACCTTCATGTACCTTACACATCAGGAAGACTGCTCTGGCCCTGATATACCATGGTCAGTTCCTCTTCCACCCTTCAATGCCTAGCACCACGAAACTCTTCTATAATGGTGGGCTCTTTCTCTGAACTCCCATAGCTTTTAGCATGTGTGCTATTATAAACAGGGACATGGTAGGCAAAAGAAGGGAGAACCATAGCCTCTGGACCAGGCTGGCTTGTTATATTGTTGGAAGACTGAGTGTATTGAAAAGAAGGGGAGAATGAGAACCAGGTTAGACCTCTTGGTCTCAGAGCAGTGCAGTTGCGTGGGTTTGTTGCTGTGTGCCTTTCCCTAAGGTGCCAGTGTTTGTGTACCCCTGCATTGTGTGTCCCTGGAGAAGGCTTGTGTTCCAGGCTGTGCTGAATGCTCCCTGAGCTCTTGGGACCAGAGAACACCAATGAGCTAGGAGATTATGAGTCTGTCACAAGGTCATTGGAAGCTGTGCTCTTGATGATAACTTTTGAGTCCTTGGTTATTCTCTTGGGTGGATTTGGCAATCAGAAGTTGGAGGAGTCTGGCAGTCAGAGGGCATAAGACTCTTCCTATCAGCAACATTTATAAACCACTTAATACAAACCACTTTGTATTGTTATTTCTCTTTCTTTTTTTTTTTTTTGAGCATAAACATTTCATGTTCTTAAGTATTACAAGTTCTACACAGGGCAGGAACTGTATCTCTTTTGTTTCTGTATCTCTGTCACCTGCCAGTGTCCGTCACAGGGCTTTATACATAGTAGATGCTAGTTAAATACTAATTGAATATTAGAGTCATAGGATCATAGATCAAGAGCTAGAAGGGACTTAAGAGACCATCCAGTCCAACCCCTTCATTTTACAGATGAGGAAACTGAGGCCCAGGAGGGTTAAATCACATAGAAAAGTTAAGCACCTTTCCCCAAGAAATCTTCCATGGTGAGATTTGAACCTAGTTTGAGGAATAGATGAATGAAATGTAGTCCACCGTCCTCATTTTACAGATGGGGAAACTGAGGCTGAGAGAAATGACTTCCTTCCAAATCACACAGTGAAATTAATTACAGAGTTCAAGATGGAGATACATAGAGTACTGCTATGGCTGTTTCTATGCCTCTTAACATAATTGCTTTTCTTTGGCATTTTTTAATGGGACAGAGTGTAGAAATATGCATGATTTATAATCTAGACAGTATATAACAGCAGGATGTAAATGAATAAAATATGATCATGTAACAGGCTAAGAATAAAGAAGATCAGCACAAGGAACAGCAGGAAAGAAGATCCCAGAGCCCTGGGCACAGCAGACTTGGCATTGACCTTTTCAGGGTCTTTCTCAGTACATTGCCCTGGAAAGCTGTTCTAGCGAGGCATCCTGGGGTGGTAGAGTCAGATTTGGAGTCAAAGGAACTGAGTTTTAATCCCAGTTTGGCTGCTTGCTATCTCTGTGATCGTGAAAAGTCAATTGCCCCTTCTGGACTTTGCTTTCTTCATCTACTTATTAGATGTGTGACCTTGGTAAGGTTACTTTCCCTTTCTATGGGAATGAGCTGAGGCTGTTGATGAATACTAAGGATAACAAAACGACATTTTAACATTATATTAAATAAAGTATTCATTAAGGTTTACTATAGACCAATTACTGTGTTAAAACTGAAAATACAAATTCAAGCAATAAGTGATTATAAGCATTTATTAAGCACCTACTATGTGCCAAGCACTTTACCTCATTTGATCTTCACAAGAATTCTTCGAGGTAGGTGCTATTATGAAGTCCATTTTATAGTTGAAGAAACTAAGGCAGAAAGAGGTTAAGTGAATGAGGCTTGATTTGAACTCAGATCTTTCTGACGACAGGCCCAGCACTCTGTGCACTGTTCCTTTTAACTGACCTCAAAAAGCTACCATTGTTAGGGGAGGGGGCACGGTAGACAAAATATTCTGGAAAGTCAGGAACGGAGCTGACTTAGAGGTGATTGGGGCAGGCATGGAGGTTCCAAAGGAGAACTCACCAGTCAGAGGAAGAGAATGCAGGAGTGGAGGCATCTCCTGTGGGTGGAGAAGTTGTCCAGAGAGTCAGGAGCTGAGCCATGCTCAGAGCTAAAATGGGATGATGATAATGGCTGGCAGTGAGAAGAATGAACAGCTCAGCTGTTATTTTGTTGCTGTCTTCCCTATCCTCAGTTATAAATTACCTGAGGATAAAGCAAGTATAATTAAGGAGGTAAGAAGACTAGTGTTCAAATCCCATCTCAAGTTGTATGACCTTGGGCAAGTTGCTTCATGTCCCTAGATCTCAATTTCCTCATCTGTCCTTGTTTGCTCTTCATTATCAAAGAAGACCAGTGACATCATAGGGTGATGTCTTGACTTGCCAGTCAATTGGATTTCATTAAGGCAGAGCTGCACAAAGTCATCAGCCTCACTTTCCCTTCCAGAGTCATCAAAATCCAGTGGCAAGCAAAAAGTCAGGACAACTGGTGTGGCCCGGGGGAGCAGTGCATGACTGGCATCTTCGATGTCTGACCAAGCTTTAATCACTCCACAATGCCTGCTTTAGCTGCCTTCATAGCTGTTGGAAGAAATTGTTTTCATCCCCCTATTCTACCAGGGGAAGTCTTCACATGCTTGGAGTAGACATCCCCCTAATTCACCAATGAGTTTGAGGCTTGTCAGTTGCCCTCAACCTGGCTTAGCCCATCTGCTAAATGAAATTATTGGGGTGTGGCCACTGGGTATGCTATAGCTTCTTGGAGCTGCAGGTGAGAAGTGGATGGCAGGTGGATGAACAGCCCTGAAAAGGGCTCAGCAAGCCCTCACACCAGAGGTGCCGGTCCTCCCTGAACACCCCTGGGCAAGTCACTTTACCTTCTTTGCCTCAGTTTCCTCATCTGTAAAGTTAAAGCTTTAGACTAGACAATCTCTGAGGTGCTTTCCAGCTTCTGATCACTGGCCATACTTCAAGCTGATGCTCAAGACAAGTGAAGAGCCGCCCAATATGAGCTCAAGTCACCAGAACTGGACGAGCTAAGGTACTGAAAGGAAGGACAGATGGAATTGGTGAGCCATGTTAGTGATCTTTCAAAGATCACAAACAAGAGGAAAGGCTTTGTAGGAAGAAAGACAAAAATCTCGACTTAAAAAGGAAAAAAGGTAGATTCTGTAAACTCTATGTCGGTGAGATTGACTTCAGTTCCAACAAAATCCTAGGACACATTATTAAAGGGATGGTTTGTAAACATTTTTAAAGGGAAACAGGTCATGTCCAGACTTACCTCACATTCTTTTTCGATGGGGTAGCTGGACTGCTACATCAGGGGAATGCTGTGGCTGTAATATCACATTAAATAATTAGATTTTATTTATTAGGCAATTGGCGTTAAGTGACTTGCCCAGGGCCACACAGCTAGTAAGTGTCAAGTCTTTGGTCTGAGGCCATATTTGAACTCAGGTTCTCCTAACTTCAGGGCCAGTGCTCTATCCACTGCACCACCTAGCTGCTCCCCAAATAGTTAGATTTTAGCAAAACATTTGGTGAAGTCATAGAATCCTTATGGGTGAGATGGAGACTGGGTGATAATACAATGAAATGGATTCAGAACTGGCTGAATGAACGAATAGTCATTAATGGTGAGCTATCACCTGGGGAGGAGGTCTCTAGCGGAGTGCCCTAGGGATCTATGCTTGGTTGGCCCTTTGCTGTTTAACGTTTTCCAAAAATCGGTGATTTGGATCAAGGCCTAGATGACATGTTTGTCAAATCTGCAGTTGATGTGGAACTAAGAAGGACAATGGATGACAGTGGGATCCCAAAAGGCTTTGACAAGCTAGAATATTAGATCGAAACTAATAAGATGAAATTTAATACGTATAGATGTAAATTCCTAAACTTTGTACTCAAAATATCAATTTCCCAAATGAACTGCAAGATCGATATGAATCGACAATGTGCCATGGCGGCCAAGAATGTTAATGGGATCGTAGACTCTGTTAGAGGCAGCTGGTAGCACAATGGGCCTGAAGTCAACAAGTCTTGAGTGCAAATCTAGCTTCAGATGCTCCCTAGCTGTGTGATCCTGGGCAAGTCACCTAACTTTTGCTTGCCCCAGTTTCCTCAACTATAAAATGGGGATAATAATAGTACCTACCCCACAGGGTTGTTGTTGTGAGGATCAGAGGAGATAACATTGGTAAACAGCAATAACAGCAAACAAAACCTAAAACAAAACAAAAACCAAAAAGCACTTAGCTCAGTGCCTGGCACATCGCAGGTGCCACACAAATGCTTATTCCCCGTTAAGAAAGGCATAGTGTGCAGGGCTTTGGAAATGATAGCCAGACACATCTAGAATATTGTGCTCTTGCCTGGGGGCTGTATTTTAGAAGGGACATTGACAGCTGTAATACATTCATAAAAGGGAAGCCAGCGCGTCGAGGGGCCTGAAGGCCATGTCCTAAAGGAGCTGGAGAGGTTTGCCTAGAAAAAAGAAAATAAGGGGACTACGATGGCTGCCTTGAAGTGATGCTGAGTGCTAGCTTACCTTTACACAGCACTTTAAGGTCTGCAAAGCGCTGCACATTTCAGCATCTCATTTGAACCCCGTAAGAATCCTGTGAGGTACCCACTACTATCATCCTAGTTTTACCAGTGAGGAAACTGAGTCTCCGAGAGGTTTAAGTGACATACCTAGGAGTGCCATAGGCAGGATCTGAACTCAGGGTCTCCTAATCCCCAATCCAATGAATATTTTGCTCCACCATGCTGACTCTCACTATTAAGACTGTTGTGTACCACAGGGACCAGTCTTGGTCAGCTTGTGTCTTCAGAGGGCAGAATTAGGGACAATGGGTGAAAGTTCCAGAGAGGCAGATTTTGATTTAATGGGGAAAAAAAGCTTCCTAATAAATTCTGTTGCTGTCGTTGAGTTGTTTCAGTCCTGTCTGACTCTTTGTGACCTTATTTGGGGTTTTCTTGGCAAGGATACTGGAGTGGTTTGCCATTTCCTTCTCCAACTCATTTTACAGATAAGGAAACTGAGGCAAACCCAGGTCAAGTGACCTGCCTAGGGTCACACATCTAGTAAGTGTCTGAGGCCGCATTTGAACTCACAGTGCACCACATAGCTGCCGCTAATAACTCATAACTAATAATTAGAGGCTTCCAAAAATAGATCAAACTGCCTCGAGATACAGCAGGTTTCCTCCTCACTGGCAGTTTTCAAGAAGAGATTGTATAAAATGTCATTCATTTCAATAGCATACGGAATGCTGCAGATTTCAGTTGTGAATGAAATATACATTTCTTCTACAGTGACGTAGAAGAAACCCTTGGTTAGGTAAAGACATGGTCTCTGATGCTCCTTTCAGCTCCAAATCTTACCATCTCTGCCAAGCCACATGAAATGTCAGGAGTGGAAGAGCTCATAGGACACAGGACATAGAATATTAAAGTTGGAAGGGACTTTAGAAATCATCTAAGCCAACACCTTCTCTTTATTGAGGAGAAAATTGCAGTCTAGAGAGTCAATGTGTTTTCCCCATGGCCTCATAGCAAGTTAGTGACAGACTAGTGACAGATGGCGCTAGAATCAAGGGCACCTGGATGCTAGGGTAGTTCTTTTGTCTGTTTTGTTTTTTTCTTTTAAATTTAGGATTTTGCTTTCTTTTGTTTTTGTCTCCCAAGGGTCCCTTATCATGTGGGATACCTTCAGCTCTTATCTAATTATTCCCCTAAATTACTATGTATCTATTTTGTGTTTATTTATCTCTGTATCTGTTGTATCCTGCAGTAAAATGCAAGCCCCTTTAGGGCAGGAGCAGTTTCTTTTTTTTTTGTCTCTGTAACCTCAAGATCTAGCTTTGTGCCTTGCTCATAGTAGACACTTCAAAAATACCCATTGAATTAATTGAGTGATTAGTGATCAGCCAAAGAAGAGAAAGGCATGATGGGGAGGAATTAGCCTCGCCAGGGAGCAGGGAAAGATAGGCACCAGAAGGGAGATTGAAAAGGAGAGACTCAACCTATTTAAAAGGGTTGACTAGCTTGACTGTTGCTGTGCAACCTCAAGTACTAAGAGAGTTTCCTTGACAATACACATGAGCCCTCAGCTGCACGGAAGGTGAGTTTGACCCCACTCCTAGGGTCCGAGTGCCCAAGCCGACGCACTCTGCTCGGCCTCTGAAACAATTCCACTGGCTCTCCATAAGGTGGCAGTGTTCAGATAGAAACGCTTGGCCAGCCCCCAGGGCTCACCGGCCATTAGCGCTCATTGTTTTACAATGTGGCGGCCCAGGAAAGGATGGATGGGCAGCTTTAATTTTTTTAAAGAGGCCCGATGATCAGATAATTATGGTTCGATATCTGTGGAGATTAATACCCATCGCCCTCATTACAACTTAGGGGGAAAGAGCCATCCCTAACTACTGTCAGCCTCGCAGTAATTCATCGGAATGGAAAGAGGACACGGTGTCTAGCTCCCTCCAGCAATCTATCCTGAGCCCCGGGTCTCAGCGCAGGGCTTCCTGCCAACGAGGCGTTGTTCCTGCTAGGCACACGGGTTCACAGCGTCCCGAAGCAAGAGCCCACTGTACTCATCCTAGGACTTGCTTGGATACCTGCAGTGACAGAGGGCTCACTCTTCTCTAATCTGCATTACATAACATGACCACTGCACCCACCCTAGGACTTGCTTGGATACCTGCAGTGACAGAGGGCTCACTCTTCTCTAATCTGCATTACATAACATGACCACTGCACCCACCCTAGGACTTGCTTGGATACCTGCAGTGACAGAGAGCTCCCTCCTTTCTAGCCTGTATTACATAACCGTGAAGCTTTAAGGTTCATAAAGCATATTCCCTCCTACAACTGTGCAATGTGGTTGGTGTTTCTGTATTATTATTCTCATACTGCAGATGAGGAAACTGAGGCTCAAAGGAGAAGTCTAATGCTTTCCCCTATCTCTCGCCTGCGTTGCTGAACCTTATAGGACCGTAGCATTTAGAGCTAGAAGGAACCTTCTAATCCAACCTCTTCATTAAAAAAATTTTTTTTTTTCGGCAATTGGGGTTAAGTGACTTGCCCAGGGTCACACAGCTAGTAAGTGTCAAAGGTTTGGTCTGAGGCTGGATTTGAACTCAGGTGCTCCTGACTTCTGGGCCAGTACTCTATCCACTGCAAGACCTAGCCACCCCTAACCCCATCATTTTACAGAGGAGAAAGCTGATCCAGGACAAGAGAGAGGAAATGACTTGTTTGAAGTTCCACAACTAGAAAGTAGTAGAGCTGGGTCTTGGAACTGGCTTCCCACCAACCCCATACTCTCTTCCCACCACAGTGCTGTACCCTAGTGCCTCCCAGTTCTGCTCTCTGGGGCCACACTGAGAAAGTCTAATTTCTCTTCCATCAGATAACCCTCCAGGTATTTAAAGGCAGTAATAATGTTGCCTTGCTCTTTTCCAGGCTCCAGGCCAACCATCCCCAAATCCTTGAATTGTTTGTCATGTAACAAGGTCTCCAGGCCCCTCAAATAGCCTGGTAGCCATCCTTTGTGCACACTACAGCTTGCCAATGTCCTCCTAAGACCTGACACTGAACATATTATTCAGATGTTGTCTGTTCAGGTCAGAGAACAGTAGAACTCTCACGCCTCCCTCCTTCTGGGCATGATACTCTCTTTTGATGCAGCCTAAGATGATAATACCTTCTGTTGTTGTTGTTGTTTTCTGTTTTAAATTCAACTTTATTTTATTTTCAGCTCTACCTCCTACCTCCCCCACCCCCATTGAGAAAGTAAGAAAAACAAAACTCATTACAAACATGTGTAGTCAAGCAAAACAAAATCCCACATTAGCCATGTCCCAAAAAAGAAAAAGAAAATATGTCTCAGTCTGCACTGAGTCCTTTACCTCTCTACCAGGATGTAGGTAACATCTTTCATTATGAATCCTCTGGAATTGTGCGGGGCATTGTATGATCAGGGGTCCTAAGGGTTTTAAAGTTTCTTTTCTTTAGGATATTATCACAATGTCTTTTTTGATTGATATGTTACACTCATGATTCATCTTGAGCTTGTGGTCAACTGGAATCATACTAGCTCTTTTTTTAAAAAAATTAACTACTATCTATCCATGTTCTTTCTTCTCCGCCTCCCTCAGTCCCACTGATGCTCTACTTAAGCAGCTCATTTGTTGAACCTGAGAACAGGATTTTACACTTATCCCTCAACAATTTAGTTAAAATGCACATGTGTTCTGTAGAAGGCACAATGCAAAGGGGTGGGGGATTTCAGCTGTGATGACTGCAGAGGTATATAGCAAAGAGGGAGAAATGTTTAATCCTATCACATGGGCAGCTGCACAATCCACCTGTGTAACCCTAACCCCGGCTTTCTCCCCCTCCCCCTTTTCTTTGTATCCCCAGAATTTAGCATCATGCTTGGCACACAGTAGGCACTTACTTAATAAATGTTTGTTGATTTGATTTGACCCTGCTTCTGCCTCTGGTTTTATTGTTCTGAAGAAAGGCTCATGGATCCCAGAGAAAAGAGGGTGCTGTGAAGCAGTGTCATTTGGGAGCCCTGACTTTTCCAATGAATGTGGCCATGGCCCCTACTGCCCTTTAAATCATCCCAAGTGTGCAATATGTGGGTGGCTAATAAAAGACTGGAGAATATGCCACATCAGCATTGGCTAATTAATGGCTCTTTTGGGGGGAAAACCACTTACTGCAAAATTGAGAGCAACAATTATTGTAATGACATTAATTTTTTTGTCACTGGAAGCGATTAAAAGTGGCTGATGTAATTATTTTCCACCAGTCTATAATTTTATGGTCCTAAATATCTTAGGTTTGACAAAAATTTGGTAAATATATAAATTACAATCTACTCTTGTAGCTCTAAAATAGCTTATTGGTAGAAATGGGGAGACTCAGGAGCTGCCAGCAGGGAATATCCCATTTCCAACCTCAGGGGACTTGCCCAGCAGGGGCTCCTAGGGCCTCTAATGGTCCTAAGGACAACAGCAATCACAGCCCCATAATAGGTCATACGGATACTAATACCTCCATTTTGCAGGACATGAAACTGAGGCTCAGAAATATGAAATGATTTGCCCAAGGAGATTTCCCCAATACGATGCATCCGATTCTCTTCTTCCTATTCATTTCTGGGTCCAACTCACTGAACATCTGCACAGCCCATCCCAGATATGAACG